ATAAATAACTATTTTTTATTGACTTCCTTAAAAATTGTTTTATTCTAAAGTCCTAGTTCTTGTCCACATCCAGTGTATAAACGAGCTCTTTCTCGTGATTCGTTTGCGAGATATCATAACTGCATTGCAGGTGGTCACTGTTCCGGGCGTCACTGCCGTCAAAACATTGGCTTTAAATAAATGCAACTTACCGTGAGACTTATTTCTCTCAAGAATTTATTGCAAAGCCGTTCTGCTTTCAATGTTTATAACTGAATAAATGATTTATCTCAATGTTTTTAGTGAATGTACGTGTTCAATGGTGGTACAGACAAAATGACTTTTTTTGTCCCGCAACCAAATCCTATCGTTAACACTGGTATTATCGATATGAGGTAAATCGTATCTAAAGTAAGGAATCGATAGAAGAGCGGAAAGTAAACGTTTTAATTAAAAAAATTTTAAACCACTTTATTGATGGAAAAATTGCATATTACTTGTAGACAACATCATTTTCACTTTATATTCCGTCACTTTTTCTGTTTATTTTTCCCATATCTCTTGAAACTGTTGACCGCTTGACTTCAAATGGTTACCTTTTTATTCTGTTGTGGTTTTGTTCATGTGATGAAAATTCAAACGCGATATCTCTAGTGACTTCTGAATAAGCTGTATTTTACTGCGTAAATGTCCCGGTGCCGTTTTTATTATGCAAAAGTGACCCGTCACCTTACAATAGCAATAACCCAACGAAAAATTGAAATAATCTGCACTTATTATGCATCATTCGATTCGTCTTTGGCAGGCCAATTTGACTATGCTTGTAAAAAGTCTTGATAAGAAGATTTTTGGATTAATATAGAGAAAAGAGGGTAATAACGCAGAATAAGAGTTTTTCCTCTCAAAAATGCCAAATTAAATATTTTAATGAACTGTCTTAGAGTTCATCAGAGTGGCCTTATCAAGATCTATCGAATGGTATATAGCAAACAGTAGTGTTTTAGATCCTTTTCAGATCATTAATATTCCAATACGCTCAGGGATTTCATCTGTTCTTCTATCAAAATTGCGTTTTCTGAAAGAAAATGAAAGTGACTGTCTGGAAAATATTCTTTGGCTATACTAAGCCTACCGAAATTTGTTGAAATCATCGGAAAAAGTTCAAATGAAATGTTTATTTCTGACCTGTTACCAGCAAATGGTATAATGGCTATATGTTTCACCCATACGTATGACACGCCTGACTCTAGCACAGTCTTTCTGATAACTCAACGGTACATACGAAGTTCAGTGTGTTAATAGTCCCATATATGATTTTTTCCTACACACACACAACGCCTCGATAAATACTATGCCTTTATCATTCTAGAGGAGATGACTTTACTCCTGATTTCTCTGTTGAAAATTTTCACCTCAAAGTCATCTGCTGTTATCTTCAATATATATAGTAAACTCTGTCTTTTCAGCTTCATTAACTCAAATCGATTAAACAATTTTAATTAAATCTTTATTTCTTTATATGATATTTGTTTCGTCATAAATATTTCATCTATTAACGATTATTCAGCTCATAAATCCATCTGCTAAATGCATCAACAGTAATATTTTATTTGTGTGTGTAGTAGAAGATAACAGCTTATTTACGCTCACTTTTGCAAGTGAAGTGATCTCTGCCCCCGTTTGACGAGCTTCAACAGTGTTTGATCATGGAGATATTTTAAATTTGTAAGAGTTGAACTGCAAAAATTGTACATAGTTTGTTTGTTTATATTTTTTGACTGTCGTGTTATCAACTAGGAATTTATAACTGTTGTATTGTGGCGAAAAACAGAAAACAGAAGCTTGTTTATTTCTTAAATTTTTGATTTTGAATATTCGAGTACAATCAGCAGTAAAAGAAGGTTTTCTTATTTCAAATATCTAGAGTAATAGGGATGATACACTTTTGACTACGTAATAAGTGTACCGTGCTTAGACAGCATGGCAGCTCGTTGTACTGCAACAGCTGCATCGTTATGCGTATTTATAGTGTCAGATCATTCACAACAGATGTGAGTTTTTTACGTAAAAATTAGCAAAATGGTCAAATTCATGTACAGTTTAGATTTTTGGCCAATTTCTGGTTGAATCTAAGAAAACGACTCAATTCCACTAGAATGTAAATTTTTGGCCAATTTCCAATGGAATTTGACCAAACCTTGTTATCGTCAAATTCTAATGTCCAAATTTCTCACGGCCATGTGAAAATTCCGTATCTGTTCGAAAATTCCGCTCATAATAGAAGGCCATGACCTTGTATTCTGGGGAAGGGTTTACATCATCAATGTTCCTGTCCGCTACTCATTTGCATTCATTCAGAACTTTCCTTAGTTTTACTCAATTCGGATCTTTTGCATGTGATCGTCAAGTAAATACATTTATCTGTTCCTGTCAACTCAGACACAATAATGCATAGATGCACAATTTATATCTTCTGTTTTATTTATCGTACTCAATAACTTCAATTAGAGTGTCACGATACATGCTGGGATAAAACTACATTAATAACAGATGTATGTTGTCTAAATCTTTGTTACTTTTCTTTCTACTTCTTATTTTCGTCTTTTCCTTCTTTTTCATCATCGCTGCCACTATTATCATTCTCATTACTGCTCTTCCAACCATCATTGTTACCATTGCTCGCACCATCATTGTTATTATTGCTCGCGTCATTATTGTCAGTTGCGAACCTTATGTACCTTATATGAGACTCTTATTTCCGCTTCTTAAAATTATAGTTAAGATTCCTTGATTGAGAAAAATTGCCGCACCATTGATATCTGATTACACTTCATTCGTTTGTAAAGGCGACCTCATATTGTTGCAGATATCTTGAACTCATCGAATGAAACGCTGCATAATTTGCGTAAAAATTGATGTCTCAAAGTTTCTGTTTTACTCATAGATAGAGGAGCATCGGCAGAATATGAAGAGTTGAACACTTTTGTAATTACACAAGTATTAAAAGTGCCACGCTAATTAGACTGTCAAAACCTAGGTACAAAACTGTGCTAAAATTCTGCAAAAGTTAATAAATGGCTACAAATCGCTAGAAGCCTGCGTCTTTACACCAGTTTTCACTTTATCTGAATTCTCAATTATTTTGCATAAAAGTCTTCGTTGAAACTAAGTTGTTTAACATTATCCCGGCCATTTTGCTCTATTGACCATAATTATCCCAAGTCGAAACGTGCTCGCAGGAAATTCATTAACACTATTGAATTTTCGAATAGTTTTTACACCATTCTATTCTATGTTTTATCCGAGAATGGCCTGAATAATACATTTTTTCTTGTGAGCGAAAGATCTTATATTTATTTTAATAAAGGTGATGTCAGCTCTCTGTCTACCGGTGAGGTTAAATGATCGAGAAACTCTAGAAACCAGCTCTAGACAGGCCCGTTATCACTCAGAATGATATCATTCAACGAAGAGATAAGAGGGATCACAGTAACAAATACCTAATAACAGGCGAACAAGTGTGAAAGTGAATACTAATGGTAATAGAAATATATTTGAAAAATGGAAAATACGAATAACAAATCAGACCGACAGACTAAGAGATTATATAGATGACATGTGAAGAAAACAAAACTAGAACGAAAATGAACACACATATAATCTATACATGTGTGTGTAGTAAAAGAAAACTGAGAAAATAAAAAATAGAATAAACACAAAAGAGAAACAATCTACGAAGAAGAAAATGAATGTATATATACACGAAAGAAAAAGGAACTGAGAGGTAATAGGTACTGACTAACCTTTTAAAACAAACTAACTGTCGTCTGACTAGGTGAAAATAAAAGAAGGAAGGCTCGAAAGGATCTGAGAATGAGATTTGACTAGACCTCTATCTTCTAGATTCCAGTGGAGGATCCTTACAGGTGATGGTTCTTCTTGTGAACCAATAGGCCATGTTAGCGTAGATTTTCGAATACAGGAGGATCGATGAGAAAGTGCCAGTGAAAACTTTTATCGAGAGTTAATGGAGCACGAAGCGGCTACGGAGTGATCCCCGCGAAGTACATTTATGGAAACTTGGCTAGGTACGGGACGAAGACGAGGCAAGAAGTTTGCGAGATAATCCCCAGAAGAGAGATAATCAGTTGTTATTTATTATGTGATTTTTGATATATGTTTTCTTACTAAATTTTGACGATGAACCGTTAGATTCAAAGCATCAGTTTTTACACAGTAATTATAATAGTGAAATAAAAATGAGTTTGGCTCCAATTACTACAAACCAAACAAGAAAGTACTTATTTGGAAAAGTTATCTTAAATTTAACTACAGAATAGTAGAAATGTGTTGTACTATTCAGTGCTGCAGTTCCCTTCTCTTTTGGATTTTTAAAACTTTTCCAAAGCTCATATTTATTTTACCTGCTGTTTGTCGTGTAAAAACATGTTTTGTTTCTATTAAAAAAGCTTTGATTTCCATAATGGCAAATTAAAATCATCGCTGATTCAGCAAAAGGCCCGAAAGAAAACCTTACGATTTGAGCTTTTTGTACTCGGAGGCGGCCATTGGACCGTGTCGGTCACGCGAGTGGTCGTAGTAGATGATAACTCGACGTTCAAACGCTGTTTTTATTTTGTTACAAACTTTTGCGCTAGCAATGTTTCTTTTGGTGTATCCATGGCTATGCCAGAATAAACTGAACTGAACTGAACTGAACAAGTCAGAACGCAAGACTTTTTCGTTCTGTATTCAGTATGACAAAGCAAAATTTTTTCTTTTTACGTTTCCTTTTCCACCTTACCATGTCATGCTTACGTTTCTCTTTTTGTTGTGACATATATACACAGTAAGTATTATGCACTACCAGACTGTGTATTCCGTCTTGGAGAACGATTGATTCCGTTATTTAAGTTTGCTAGCAGTTGTTCTTAATCTACACTGTATTTTCTATCGGAAAAACACGATGTACAACCAACGCTTTTTAATTTAGAGAAATTTGCAGTATACAGTAAATTGAAATGTCGCAGAGAGTAGCTGTAGTAAGTATAAGTATATGTCCAGTGGTGAGCTAGTTATACGCGAATATTTTTGTATGTTAAGGTCACTGGATCGAATAAAGGCATTGGTTTTGCTATTGTTGATAAACTTTGTTCAGTTTTTGATGGCACCATTTATTTAACGGGTAAGAAGTGTTTTAGTTCTGAAAAAGTAGATCCATTCCTGTCTTCGGGATTCTATTTTAGCTCGAAATGAAGAATTAGGTTTGAGAGCTATAAAGCAACTTCAGGCAACAAATCCCACAGCAAGGCACAAACTAAGATTCCACCAATTGGATATAACAAATGTTGAAAGTATTAAACATTTCGCCGATCACATTCAAAGAACTCATGGTGGGCTGGATGTACTAGTTAATAATGCTGCAATTGCTTTCAAGGTTATTCTATATGGCACGCACGTCGAACAGAACTAACGTTGTTGTTTCATTCAGAATGCCGATCCCACTCCATTTGGTGAACAAGCAGAAATCACAATTCGAACAAATTTCTTTGGCACAATGAATGTTTGCAATGCTTTGTTTCCATTACTTCGTCCACACGCTCGGTTTGTTTTTTGTTGTGGAATTCCTCTCTCCAATGAACAAGTTTCAGGGCAACAAAAGCACAGAGTTTTCATTTCAAGCGCTACCAAACATATACTCTGCGCTAAGCGTTAAAAAAAAGACATCTTCCCTTCACTGCTGCTCTGAGCTGCAACCGTTATGGAAATTGCACCTTTACATCTAAGCTGACAGCTTTTCTTATCTCTTTTTCACATTTTAATGTTTGTTTGTAGGGTGGTGAATGTTTCCAGTCGCGCTGGAATGCTTGAGTCTATTAGAAACTTGGAGATTCGTACGCTATTAGCATCGAATGATACAACAGTACAATTGATAGCAGATATTGTAAACGATTTTATTATGTAAGTAAAAGACTATTAGAAAACACATTTGACATTTCATGTTTCTGTTACAGAAAGGCTAAACAAAATTCACATCAACAGGCTGGGTATCCTAAAACAGCGTATGGTATGTCCAAAATTGCTTTAACTGCAGCAACTTTTGTTCAACAACGTTTGTTCGATAATCAACCAAACAACGATATTGTGGTGAATTCTCTGTGTCCAGGTTACATCAAGACAGATATGACAAGTCAGGAGGGACCTGGAACCGTCGAACAGGGTAAGATATACTCTTCTAAATTCATAGATTTTCAAGAACATCACTGTTAGCTTTCCGATGCTGAAATTTGCTAATGATCACGAGAATGAGTTCGGTCTCACACTTCTGTGATTAAGCCGAGATCACAGTGGCCCCTCTAGTGGAATCTAGAGAAGCTAAACAAACTGTGCTGTGAGAGAGGAATCACTATCCTGTGTTGACTATAAGAATACGAACTTGTGTGAATATATACTGTAATAAATAAAACGAATAAAGTAACGGATGGCGCAGAATAAATTAGACTGTCAGTGTTTTTGAAATTCCTTCTCTTCCTCAAAGTCGATCGAGATCATTCTTATATCAAAAGATTCGCCTTTCAATTCTCTACGAAATGGTATATAACTGGTCAG